CATACTTTCAATGAATTAGTAAATACCCCTCTAAGAACACATCCACTCTAAAGAAACACCCCGCCAATATATGTTCACGTATTGCAGGCAAATCCCCGAGTGTAGACGCACCATATGCCATTAGTTTTTCAACACAGTTATACCATTTCCTCAAATGACAGTGTCAACATCAAAAACTTTGTTCAAAACTCTGTGGTGTAGACCTGACATCAGGGAAATGGTTAAAAACAATTCAGGTGGTTTCCCTTGGGACTTCTGCTAACCTAGCTAAGCTGGTCAAGCATCATGTACCGAATATCGTAACAGTGCTGGAAGAAATCTAATGCAGACACAGTTTTGATTAAGGGTCTGTACTGATCTGGAAAAACAGAGGTGGAACACAAGACACTATTTCACACCAACTCTACTTTCCTTCTAGCTAAATCAGTGTTACAGGGCAGCAACATAAATGTTGTCTGCACAGACTCTTTAATCTTAAAACTCTTTTTACTTAGACAAACTTAAAGCATAGTGCCTCTCATAGAGAAGTGCTAGAATAGCTTACACTTACACTGCTTAAAATTGTGGTCAAATAAGCAGCAAGTATACATGAAAAAAGAAATAAGTTTTTGCCATAAAACTAATAATGGAAATTAACGCTCTTTAACATAATGCATGAAGAAAGGTCATCTGTACTTTCAGCTAAAGTTAGAAATAGTGCGGTCCACATAATCACCACTCCAGGTCCTCAAAAATGGTGTTATACATTTAAGTGTCTTATGTGCAGTGTTTCACACAAGGCTGAGAATGCCCGGTACCTCAATGGACAGGACACACCATAACTGGCAGTACAAACAAAATACGTAATATTGAAAGGGATTTTCCAGCCTACAAGAAGCCATACATATTTTTTTCCAAAACTAAACATCTACTGAATGTCAGGAACTGAATTTCTATCTCTGAAGTACAAGCTTTGCCATTTCTTGAACAGAGCGACACTTCAAGCTAGAGACAGTATTTTGATGATTTTCATAGTAACAGAGTTATCAATCCCACCATCACAACCAGACTAACAACTACTACTACTAGTCAGTCTTACTGAACTGTTCCTTCATTTGAGATTAACAAAATCAAATGTATGAATTAGGACAAAACGAAGAAAGTCCAAAGAAAGAAAATACACTTCTGGAAACACCAGCGTAACTTACTGAAAATCTTTCACAGTTTTGGTTCGGATGGGAAGGGAAGGTTCAGGAGGAATTGGTGCTTTCAGTTCTTGGGGTAGTGTGTCTATAGAGATGCGCTGCTTTTGTCGTACATCGAGGCAAATAGGTGGTAGGTCTCTCACTTATTTTTAAAAAAAAAACCAAACACACCAAAAAAACAATAAATACAATGCAATCATATAAATAACAAACAGTTAGCTAGCAAAATATAGATATATAGGAACTGGTGTGTGTGTGTGCACACGTGACCAAAACGCACTCTGTCTGATTCTACATCTTTAAACCCCTACTCATCCAAGTACTTTTCTTACCATGTGCTCATCCCAGACAAGATGGAAACTTCCACCAATTGAAGGGAAATAAAACCTTATAAACAAAAAATGTGTCCTGAGTTCATAACCAAGTCTTTGTGAACAAAGACTGGCCAGTTTTATCCCTCCATTGGCAGAAGGAAGCACTTTCTCCTATCTAAAGCTTTCTGAAAGACAGGAGTCTCTACTATTTTATAAATGAACTGCTGGACAAAATCGCAAACTAATTATTTGTCTACTACAAACCCAAAGAAAACCATGACAGATTTTCACAATTGAATTGCTGGCATACTGCTGACCAAAAAAAAAAAAAAAAGCTGGTGATCTGTATTCCAACTCATTATTAGGGAAAACAGCAAAATACTGTTCTTACGTAAGATGCACTGGTATTACATCAGTAATAATGCACTGGAATACATACAGCAGCATTCACATCACACAAGAAAATCTCAAGTTCATATATAATTTTGTTTTTAGAAATGAGTGCTTCAGAATTTTCATTAAATCTATTTGCAGATGCAGATGCTAAACCTTATGAACGTTAAGCCAAGTGCCTTCTAAAGTCAGATGCATAAAGAAAGTATCTATTTTGAGCATCACATCTACATGAACCTATGAGGAACTCAAGCTAAGCAACTTAGAACATAACTAAAAAAAAAAAAGTCAAAGGATGTCATGGAATTACAGAGTTACCCAGGGTGATCCTGTTATATTTGCTGTTTGAAAGACAAAGCAGTCCATGACTGGTAGCTATTAGTCATGAATAATAGTGTTGTCCATTATTGTATTTACAATATATATTGTAAATATTGTAATATACAAAGCCTGGTGTTCCCTA